TCGATAAATGATAAGTAATTTTTTTAAGGACAATTTGATCAAAATTAGAATGTGTCACACCAAAATCGGAAGTAGATCTGACAGCTGACTCTACGAAAGCGCGGACGTTATATTTTCAACATTCTTAAAGCTATCGAGCTCCTAGAAAATTTGTCTTGTTAATCAAAATCCCTTCCTAACTTGAATTATTGCATCTTAAATTCTCTGTCGTGTTTTTTAACATTCAAGAGACGCCATTTGTATTCAAAAAAGCATTTATCATAAAGAAAAGTCTCCCGAGAATTCGTTCTAAAAATTTTAATACGAAACCTTTATTTCATTCATGTTTCCATTTCTCATTTTCTCATTAATAAAGGGACTTTCGCTAATAAAAAGGCATAATTGAAGAGAAATGGCACTTTTATAAATACAACAAAGGTTCTTGTGACCATGTAAATATAAACGCAAAAATAAGACCTGATTCAATTTACAAAATAGTATCTAACAACCCAAATTGTGTTATTGGTGTAGGTTTCAAGAGGATTATTTATAAATATTTTTGGCCTTTTCAAAAACAAGTAAAACCTTTTAAAATTACGATATATCTTCAAAAGAGGGAAAAAATTGCCTCTGGTAATAACCATGCTTTAAAATTAAAAGCAGCCATTACTTTAAAAGGTTTGCCGGAATTGAATTCGAATTTTCAAAAGCTTCCTATAGTTTACCAAGAGCTACTACATTTTACAATTTTTCGGATGTCGCCCAATGAAAAAAAAATTAAATTTGCAGCAAAAGGGTAATGAGATCAGGGAATGCACTGATCTAATGATGACATCGGCAATGTTGCTATATTGACCAAAATGGATTAAATAATGATCAATAGTTGGGAATTTTTTGTTATCGTGTATTTTAATGGCTTTATGGGTGTCTATCCACAAAGTTTTTTGAAAAAACCATAAAAGAACTCCATGAAACTTTGTAAACAAATAAGTGGCAGAATTTCATTAATAATAGGTGCGATAGAATTACGCAAGTTCAAAGTTTTCACTTACTTCTAAAACACCATCGATCTAACTTTCGTTTGATTAAACTTCCACGAAACTTGGAATGTCTGATGTTTCAATAATTTTAAAGCGAAAAGTGATATTCGACGTTGCTTTAAAAATAAATACATCAGATTTTCGAGTTTGAACTGTTCTCAGTCAATGGAAATGCGATAAAATCTGATTTTATGATGGAAAAAAAAAACAGTGCTACTAAGTAAAAAGACGTGATTGAAAACGGCGTCTTTCAATGATACAAAAATTATGCATCAGAACAAATTAGAAAGCAAAAAGCAATGCATGATAGTATGTTTTAGGTGGTCGCTCGAAAAAATAGGAGGTTGCGAATGAAAGTGGCGCGTGAATGTTTTTGGATATATTTGTCCTCTAGGGAAACAGATATTGAAAAAAGAAAATTATTCAGGAGCCATTCAGCGCCATCTATTATTTCGTGCGAGTAAGCTGAAGCAAAGTTTAAATAGACCCTGCTGCGATCGAATAATTGTCGGCGTAATGAGCCAGAGAAGGCGCTAGTTGAAATGGAATATTTTTTGTCAGAGGTAGAATATACACGGACATAATCAATCAATTCATTAAATTATTGAAGTGCAGCAATGTCCGAACAAATCATAAGGCGACTTTTATTTATTTGTTCAATATTACACGGACATGATTCATTTTTTAAGAACGAGTTAAAACTTTTGATTCAACATCTACAAAATTAGGGGACAATCTCATCGCTTGCGCAACTCTAGAATTCCATCGTCAGAAAAACTGCTTTAAATTTATCAGTATTTAGCATTATACGATACACCGGCCAGTTTTGGCCATTATGCGTACGAAAATTTTCAAGATTATTATTATTTTTTTGTTGTTGTAGAAGGTAGAAAAATTAATATTTCCTCTATTGGAAGAATGATGCTCTTGCATCTGCGAATATAAAGTTCCCCAAAGATGACTGTAATTGAAAAAAGAATATAGGGTCTGTCTTACGACACTGGAAAAACTTGTGGATAGGCACATTAGGGACGGTGTTTTGGCAAACAAATCACTACAGCCAGACCAATATGCATATCGAACAGGGATGTCAACAGAGACCGCGCTTCACCAGCTGGTCAGCATAGTGGAGACCACACTGGCGCAAACAAAGAGGTGATGCTGGGTTCTTTCTTGGATATAGAGGAAGCTTTTGATAACACTTACTTCGATTCAATAACCAGATTTCTCAAGCACAAAGCAGTTGGGGACACCTGCCGTGTGTGGATCAACTCCATGCTAAGAGAAAGAATGGTAGAAACCACCATCGCAGAGGAGACACTGGCGGCCAGGGTGTACAGGGGATGCCCACAGGGCGGGGTATTATCCCCACTCCTGTGGAATTTAGTGGCAAACGGCCTGCTTAAGGTGCTCACTGACGGAGGACACCGTGCCCTCGGATATGCTGACGTCATAGTCATCATCTCACAGGGCAAATTCAACTCTACAGTTAGGGAGCGAATGCAAGACGCTTCAGAGCGAACAACAAGATGGGTGGACAGAGAAGGGCTAAACATTAGTCCCAACAAATTCACCATCGTGGCATTTAAGGACCTCTTAGATTAAGGGGTACAAATATACAGATTTCGAGCGAGGTCAAGTACTTGGGGGTAATACTTAACTCAAAATTTACCTGGAATCAACATCTGGAAAACACTACCAAAAAAGCGGTAACATCACTCATGATAGCCAGACGCTTGCATGGAAAATTATGGAGCATAAGACCCGACATACTGTATTGGACATACAACATGATCGTCAAACCTATCTTGACATACGCCTCCCTGGTGTGGTGCCCGAAGACACTGCAGGGAAGTGCCATTCGCCAACTTAGCAAAGTGCAAAGATTGACCTGCTCAGGAATAACGGGGTCAATGCGATTCACACCAACAGCAGCCATGGAGACCCTCCTAGACCTCCCACCTCTACATATAGTGATACAGGGGGAGGCAAGGATGGGAGCGTACAGAATGCAGCCGACAACCGCCCCAAAAAAAAGGACGGGACACATGGCAATCGTAAAACTCGTGAGAGATTTTCAACATGAGGACCGACTACATGCCAAGACGATACTGCCTGAACAGACCATTCGAGGTGAGCTTCCCAAGCAGAACTGAATGGGAACATGGCATACCGGAGACAAAAAAACAACGAGACCAGACCGCTATACTCCAATGCGCAGCGGAGAGCAATAGGAGAGCCACAACCAACAGGCAGATCCTTATAATGTCTGATAGTCAAGCGGCACTGAAGATCCTTTCGAGCCAGACAGTGTCATCAAGACTAGTATGGGAATGCCAGGGCCCTGCCGGACCAGAATAAGGTAAAACTTATCTGGGTGCCAGGACACAGAGAAATCAGAGGCAACGAAAAAATGATGAACTCGCAAAGAGAGGGTCAGAGACAAAACTTATCGGACCAGAACCGGCTCTAGGTTTGCCAAAAAGTATGACCAGAAGCCACATCAAAGACTGGATTCGTAAAGAACATCGGTTGGGAATTCATCGACCAACCATGCAGCAAAAGGGCCGCAGAACTGCTACAAATAAGCAGGAGCCGACTGAGAACCATAACGGGACTCTTAACTGGCCACACACCAGTAAAGGTCCACCTGAACAGGATGACGGAGACCTTAATTGCAGACTCTGCAATAAGGTACCCGAGACAGCCAGATACATCCTGGTGAACTGTGCGGCACTGGCTCGCAGAAGATACAGCATTTTCGGGTAACCAAACGTACACCCGGAAAGAATAATGAAACACCACCCAGTAAAAGACCTGTACAACCTCGTACAAGGCACAAAAATACTGGAGTGGTTGCAATAAACCACAAAGGCAAAGTACAGTAAAACTTCTGAGGCTTCAGTGCTGCATGGAGACAATAAGTTGGACAGGCCTGGAACAAGGGAGAAAAAGGGGTCTGTCTCGAGTTTTCTGTGGATCTCCAGAATGGATTCTACTGCCTGACATCTATAGCCATTGCCTTGCGCATCTGATTCTCCTCCCAACTCGGACATCAATTCGCGAGAATCTCTTCATTCTCCAAATCCCCCTGTCGTCGGTATCGACAAGAAGCCCCGACCATCCCCGAAAATATGGTATCATAATTCTGTAATCAGTGCAATGGGCATGGCATGTCATTTGGTAATCCACGGATTAACGCGAACAGCTTCTTCTTTCAGGAGCGGGTACGTGAAGTAGAGCTTTTTACTACCTTGGCGTGGTGGAATCCGATTTTTTTTCGACCTCGTACATCTTGACAACAAGCTATATGTGACAGATGGTGACGTCTCTGTAGCAGCGTCATACGATGTCTTAGAAGCTGCTTGTGCTTCAGAAGCGTCCATATCCATATCTTCTCTAACTAAACGGGGGCTTGAGTAGCTGGCGGGCTTGCTTGGTAGAATTCTCGAACCCATTGTCTAGATGTTTACTGATGTCTTCCAAAATTCCATCATCTCCTCCGTGTCATTGGTTTGCGCGTCGATGGTCACTTTCATAGTCATCATCATTCACTTTTTGCTTTCCGCTTCTATGAGTTCACCAATAGGCTTCTTCTGCTGTAGGCCTGGCATACTCAGTCACCGTCAGCTAAATAATAAATAATCTCGAATATTTCATATGAGCTTTACACTTGGTTGACAATCGCGCATTTTCATGTTTGCTTTTAAGTTTCGTATCTCTGCAAAAAACAAATCGGTTACTGTGAATTTACGACGATATGCCAAATTAAACATTTTCGAGTTCCTGGCAGTTCTAGCTGATTTAATAAATCTCGTCTTAAACGACACACCTAGCTATTAGGTACGTGGTTGCCCATTCATTAAGGAAACCCATTTGGTGTTGTTATATTGCGCAAAGTATCCTCAGCTCTGGGAAAAACAAATTAGAGCTTTCTGATCAATGCATAAGCAATGGCAGTGGGCGTTTGAGAGAAATAAATGAAAATAAAATTTTTTACTTATTAAAAAAAATAATAACGTTGTACAATGACTACAAAACACTTCTGATTAATTGTCACACTTAATACTAAAATTAATATCATGAAAAACAGTTAAAAACTAATATAACTACTTAGGTTACTATTAATTTGGTAAATATAATAGTTGGCAAGTCTATCCTTTTATGTAAGGAAGCAGAAACTTCAATATTTGATGGATATAGCACATAGATTATAGTATCAACCGATATCTTCCTGAGTGGGCGGAAAAACATATTTCGGAGAAATTTTACTGAAGTCTACATAAATCTTTCCATTGTTGGTGTCCAATTGTCTCGCAATATCTTCAAATCTTGGCCTGTCGTCTGGATTCTGGTACCAACAGGTCTGCATTAATTGATAAAGCTTGTCAGTGCACGTTTCCGACCTATCCAGGCGTTTTCCTTGAAGTATATGAGCTATGACTTGTTCGTTGCTCAGGTCTTTGTATGGAAATGCCCCTGAAACATAAAATAGTTCTAATTTACATCATTGAAATTTTTCCCACTCGGCATCTTACCTAAACTGCCAATTTCCCATAAGACAACACCAAACGACCATACGTCAGTCTTATTATCGCATCTTCTACTTTCAATGGCTTCAGGTGCCATCCATCTTAAGGGTTGTCTTTTTTGAGCGGTATTCACGTAAATACCTGTTCTAGACATACCAAAGTCTGAAATTTTCAGTACTTTGTTCTCGCTGACTAGTATATTTCTAGCTGCTAAATCTCTGAAAAAATAATATAATTTCATTTTTGAAAAATCTCCCATACGAAATTAGATATGATCTCGAATGCCTTCTCTTCACATTGCTGTCATTCAAATCCTTAGACTATATACCTAAAATACTGTATTGTAGGTATATAGTCTAAGTTCAAATCCAAATCAACGTATGCAAGAATCTTCAAGAAATGGCCTTCTGTTTTGGCTTCGTAAATGTTAAAATACTAAAATTTGTATAATAGCCAAAAAAAATATGTAAAAATCAAAGTAAAATAAGTTTCTATAGAAAAGTTAAGCCAGATGTGCTTGTGTGATTTTATAATTACCTATGAGTGACATCAATACTTTCCAAAAATGCCATACCACTAGCTATTTGTAGAGCGAAATCTTGAAGTTCCTTATTATCTAATACCGGTTTTACTCTCTCCAACTTATTTTCTGACAAATCAATCAATGGAGTTGGTGGCTCCAAGTACAATGGGGTCAAAAGTGCTAAAAATAACAGAAGTTTATCTCTAAAGAAATTTTAATCAAAATATACAAGTTCTTACTATCCGTTACAGACGGTAACCCACTAGAACTAGTTGAACTCTCACTCATAGGGGTAGCTGCTGCCACACAAACTGGCATCATTTTACTACACAACTTTCGTTTATTAGATTTTGTTGCTCTTCTATCGTGCAATCTTGGTGGCTGCAGCCGTTCAAGGGGCGAGCCCGGAGTACTTGGAGTATCTGGGGTTATGTACGAGTCTGTTTCTAAACTTTGAGTACTTCCAGAATAGTTGCTAAATAATAATTTGGGTTGCATTAGTTTCCAGTGGCTTTTCTTATTATTTGGAACAGTAAATTTATTTAGGCAAATTTAAATAAACCAGGTGAGAGACAAAATGTAATTTTCTTTCGACTTTAGTATTAAGACCAAGTAGTATACTGGAACAAATACTCACTCAAAAGCCAAGTCGCTGTATTTAAGCTTTTTGGTTTCGCAAATCTCTGTCACCGTTACTCCTGGCAGGTAATTTTCGACAATCATGTGACTACAAAAAATAATTTCTGTTATTTTCGTTTATTATAAAATAATTCAAGCATGGAATGCATTAGAACAGTAAGTACCAAAAATATGTGCATCATATGGTTACAAATTATAAATAGTCGCTAACATGAAATAAAAGAGCACACAAGGATAAATTCTAATTTTGAATACTACTAAAACTTTCCTTTTTTTTTGCAAAAATACTTTGTTTCAAATACCGTGTTATTTAGTTGAAAATTACAGCAGCAAATAGATGAAAACAGAATAACCCAAAGTCAGACTTTGATTTGAAAAAAAAAAAATCTACGAAAGAATGAGTTTGGTTGAGAGAGGCCAGTGGAAAGCAGAAAAGCAAAAAAAAAACTATTGAAAAGTATTTTAAAATCAATATCTGAAACTCAGGCAAAATAAACATATTTGAACACCAATTTTGCGAAAGTTTATTTACCTCGTATGTATGCTTTGCTCACTATCCCAACTTTTCAAGTTAATATTTCTTTGCTTATCACTAAATAATAGATTAGTTACTCGTTAGGTACTGTTATTTGTTTTGTCAATGAAACAATTCAACAAAGACAAACAATACTTACTCTGGAAAAAAATGTCTATTAGTTTTCTTGTTTCGATTTTTTTTCCGGTCGTCCCAGACTTTTCTCAAATTTGACAAATACGATTTCAAGGAGCCACAAGGTACCAGCTCCATAACCATTATGTAGGGTGAGTCGATAGTGATGCAGGCCAAAAGCTTGATGACGTTTGCATGTCCACCGGAATGAGAAATTTTCTTCATTGTTTCTATTTCCCTAAGGAAGTCTGCTATCTCCTCTGATGGGGCAGAATCTCAAAAAAAATTATTTTACCTATTTGTTTATATTATAATAAATAGTTGTTACTATGTGCAATCATTCCTTTCTTACATTTTTGTAAGATTCACTAGTTTACTTAACAGGTAGGTAATACATTTTCAATTTGATTAATGAAACTCACCTATTGGTTTTTTGGCAGCCGCTAAAATATAACCAGCCTTGTTGTCAAGATTATAAACCTCAGCTTTATAAACTTTTCCAAATGCTCCACCTCCAATTTCATTTTTGATATTTACTCTATTTCTTGGAATCTCAAATTGATCGAATTTGTGGGAGTTCTGCAAAGAAAAAAAAAATGTTTTGCACCTTGACGAATTATACACACAAAATCAGGCATGTCTTCTCAAATCAGTTTGGAAATAGGGCGTTGTTTGATAAATAAATTTAAAATGTGTCAGAAATTGACAAGCCAAAAATGAAAAATGTGAAAATTCAGTTCCAGAAAAATCAAAAACACCATTCAACAATTCAAGCAGGGGAAGAATTCAGGAGGATTGAAAACACCAAATGAAAAAGTTCTCGTGGCGAAAAAATGGCTCCATCAATTATCTGGACGAAATATTCTGGTTTGACTCTAAAGTGTATGAAAGCATTGATATATCAAAATATTGGAACAATGTGGCTTTTGAACCCAAGAGGCAAAACTTATAGAATGACAGGAAATTGAGACATCTTTCATTGACGCAACTGACAGCAGTGAGCATATAAAGTCAAAGCATTGGTGATAAGGTACCGTCTGATTCAAGGAATAAATAGAAGATGAGAGACTTGCGTGAAATGCAAAATTTCACATTCCTGTCAGAAAGTGGACTCACTAAACCGAAAAGCTGCAAAGATCTACGTCCGAGGAGGCATAAGAAGTTAAAGCAGGTAGTAGCTCTTTTATATAAGGAAACCCACATATTAGAAAGAAAGAAGGAAAGCTATGTCATAAGCAATCATATCTGTTCAAATTATTGTGAAGCATAAAACTATCTGAAATTAAATCAGTGTTATCGAGACGTTTCCTTTCCTTGCAACTGTGCCTTGATTGTTCCAGGGATAATATGTTTATCAGTGATAACGTTAGCATAGGCTTTCAACCTAATGGATTTAATAGGCAACCTTTGATTTACATCACAACAACGTCATTTTATGAAATGCATTTATGTTTGTATTACAGGTTTCCTGATATGCTAGTATATTTCATTTTAATTTTCCCACCCATCATTTCATTCAAAAATTACGAGACCACCATAAAAGAACCAACAAACTCAAAACTGTTTTTGAGTTTGCAAACAAGCGAGTCAACGTACAGGTTGGATATATTTACTAGAAAACTTGAGTTAGAAAAAAACGAACACCCTAATCTGAACTCTCAAATTTGATAAAAACTTCAATGGTCCAAACCACATTTCAATATATTTTCGAGTTTTGCCGCTAAGGGGCATTTCTTCATAACCTCTTTGTTTATGACAATAGTTGACTTCTGTAAAAACTGTCCAATGTTACTTAGCTTGAAATTTTTAATTCGTGTACAGCTTGGACGAGAGTGACGAACTGAAATCGGACTTTAATTTTCTTCATGGTGTAACAGATCTAATCTAATGCATCGAAATATCAAACGATATTTTTCCACAGGTCAAAAAATCCCCTCATTTTTTCAAAATATATTGGTTTATGATACACTCAGTACAGACAAAATTAAGTGGTATTCTGGATAATTCTTTTTTTTCTGTGCCCTTTATTACTTTTCATACCTCAACATTTTGGGCTTCATCTAAAGATCAAGAGAATGTATTGGCACGTATATTCTATTTCCTTATGAAATGGGCTGGTCTAGTAAGCTGAATAAATAAATGGATGAATAGTCTTTAAAAAATTAGGCATTTTTCAAAAGTTCAGCTTTTGCCAAGGTAAGGTGAGGTATATCGTAATACCAACTTCAATATTCTATGCTAAAAATATACTTACCACTATAAACTCCAAAGGCGTGTACTGAGAATTGATAACTTCCTTCCTAAAAAAATACATATCGATAAATTATTAACAATTTTTTTCGCAAATACATCGTAAATATGTATTAAAAATACTAGAACCAGACAAAGGAATATTCAACAAAGTTATATCAGGTACATACTAAATTCAACCTCTTACGTTGGTCTTGGTATAACTGCAGACGTTGGATCAGCCGTATATGCTACTGGCAAACTATCAGGTGCAAATGGTAGATAACGTTTCAGTGTAACCAAGAATTGAGGTTTAATCTTTACCACAGTAAAACCCGTAGTTAGAAACAATGCTAGAATAGCTCCCATGTATAGTAGATAGCCATGCGATGATGACGATTGCAGAACGATGAGAGAATCTTTAGGAACTAAAAATAAAACGGAAATTAAAGAAAGAACCTAATATCAACATGCTTGACTGTCTTCATTGAGGTCAACCTGGCATATAGTGCCACAAGTATAAATATTATTAATCTAAAATAATATTGTATTTTATAAAGCAAAATACAAATCTTACCTTCTATTTTTGTTGTGAAATGAATATCGCAACTATCTACTAGCAGATCAATGTTGACTATGTAAGTGTTACCCTCTCTAAAATCTTGGAAAGGTAAAGTGAATGCATTATTGGCATTGTCAAAGGTTATATGGCTTGGTTGCACAAACGACATTGTCTTATTGGAATTTAAATTTGTGCTGGAAAAAAATTAGAATAGTTTGTGATAGAAATTATATTTTTGACCTTTTGTTAATAAGTCTTAGCCGAACCGTCTAAGCATATGTTTAAGTGAATGTCATTAACAATAGACAAATCAATTTAACGAATATATTTCAAGTGAATCCATAAGTTCATGGCATCGTCGGATTTTTATTATATATGAAATATCAAAATATTCTCCTCCATTGTTGTCGACTAAGGTTGATGGTTCATTCAGCATCCCTTTTTCTGGTGATTTACCTTATCATTAGCGATACTGTTATGATTCTCATGTCGTTGTCAGAGTGGATATAAAGAAAGCTTTAAGAATGTCTTGCTTAAGCAAGTTCCGTCTTTTGCATCATAGTCGTATATTATGTGCAACGCGGTTTCCTCCTCTTTACCACACAGTCGACGTGTCGTTGGGCCATTGTAGATTCTCATTTTCTGCATTTGCTCTTCAAGATGGCAGTGTCCTGTTAGTAGCCCTACCACCTGTCTTATCTGGAGACGTTTTAGTGACAGTACTCCAGCTGTTAGCATCTTTGGAAGGTTTCCAATTATCCCCTTCAAGTTTCTTGCTCCAGGTATAGACCTCCAAAAGTCGAGGTGTTGATGGGTCGACCACCTTTCAAACGCTGTCTTCATGACCTGCTTCGATATCCCAAATGCAGGTTCTGGTCTTGTTTAGGGTGCCCGCTTTGGCCAGTTCGTCAGTGTTTTCGTTGCATCAGGATCCACAGGAACTTTATTCTGTAATTCCTTGATGACAGATCTTCTAAGTCGTGTAGGCATTCCATCATTATCTTCGAAGTAAATCGATATGAGTTCAGAGCTTTTAGAGCAGCCTGACTGTTTGAAAGAATGCTTATGTTCTGGTTGTTATAACTCAGCCTAGGATTTTCCAGTGCGCATGCTTGGATTGCATGCATTTCTGCCTAGAGAGGAATGTTCTGTTCGGATCTTGGTCTTTCTCTATATACGCCGGTGATGCACATACATGCAACAGGCAATGATAAAAGGATTCTATCTGAAAATGCATCAGAAAAGGCCAAAGAAGAAGAAGATGATGACATCAAAGCAACCTTCATATACCTACTTATGAATAATAAATTTGTTCCGAAGGAGCTTTACCACTACAAACGAACTACCAACTCATGCACATGAGAGTTGAATTTAAAAAAATCAGTAACTAGTTTGCCCTTTAAAAAAACTTTACTTACTAAATAACGCGCACTTATCTACATGTCAATATTTAGGTAAACAATAAAAACAAAATTATGTCCATAATTAAAAGCTGAACCAACAAAACCAATTTCAGCTAATAATCAGTCGAGAGCATCGAAGAATTATTGAGTTATCTTTTTATTCGCTATTAATATTTAGTTGTTCTCCACATGATCCAGATGGGTAATGATCTGTCGAGATAATAAATTTATCATTGCAATATTATTTAACGAGCAAAACAAATAAATAATTAAGCAGCTGTTTAAGGGTGTCAAAATACTTACTACCAAATCTTATCAAACACAGCTTCTAAAGTTAGGTCCGTGATTCTATCAGTCTTATTAAAAAATATTTTATAAATATGATCGGTGAATAATATAGAATCATTGTAGACGTAAGGAGAGTTTGCTATACCGCATGCGCAAACATCATCTACGCAATCTTAAATAAAAATAACAACTGAAATTCAAGATGACAAGTGGAAAGACGATAGACTTACCAGGTATTGCATACTGTAAAAATTCTGTCGCTATGCAAGTTTCATTTGCGTAGGATATTTCTGCGAGCAACTCAAAATCATACTCACATCCATGTTGTAGTGGTTCGGCTGGATGTTTCAGTCTTTCCATGCTGGGTTGAATAACATAACCTTGCTAAAAAAAAAACATTCATGACTAAATAATATGAAATTCGTCAAATTTACATAGTATGACAGGTAGAAATGTGGAATCTTTAATAACCCAAAAATGATTCCTTTTTCTTATTTATCATCGGATTCTGAGGTGGGCGTTTATTCACTGAGTATAGAAGCTCTTTGGTTATTTACGAGCACCAGAGTGGGAGTCCTGAGTCTTTCACTTATCCCAAAAATAATTTGAAGTGACGGCGCATTTTCATGTTTCGAATCAACCGTCTTCTTCTGTCTTATTGTAGTGTATATTTAGTATTGCTTTCAAGCATAAGTACAGAATATAGAAAATGTCGGGAAAGAAAGGAACCTCGACAAGAAATGTGGGAGGCAAAGTGTGGATGGTGAATTGCGTAAACCAAAAAATAAAAAAAAGTTTTACTTACGTTAACTGAAATATTTCTATCACCATACAACGCACTACAATTAGTGTTGATTATCATTTCAAAGTTTGCAAAATTTGCTTGAAGAAACAGAAAATTAATCAAAACAATTACAAAAGTATAAGCACTCTATTACCTTTTGGCTTGTCCCAAGAAATATTTAGCCGAATGTAACGATTTTCATCTACAAATGATGTTATGATGATATCTTCGAACAAACCGTCGTTTTCACAGGAAATCATTCCATTTGCGACCCAAATAATCTAAACAGAAAAATAACAATCTAAAAATAAAACCCGGAAATTACCGTAAAAAATCCCTTTAATTTGATTAAGCGCATACAAGCTCCCTCATTACCGCGCTCAAATAAAATTTGTTTTGAAAATATGAATACAGGAAATTGATCAAGTGGCAGCTTAGATAAATATTAAAGTACCTACTGCGGGAAACTTTCGAAGTATATACAGGGTGTCAATTTGAAAGGGGCGAAGAAGAATATTTCCATAAAAACTCATTCCCCTTTATATTTGCATGTTTCGAGAATTTCATTCAAAATATTCCGTTTGTGAGATAGGTACCTATAGTTAATGGAATGGGAAATTTTCAAGCTAACACCCTGTATAAGCTTTCCGCTTTTGTTCAGGTACAACTTGAGTATCTTTGCACTTACGCTGGCGATTATCAAAAATCGTAACATATTCTTCCAATATATTTTTGTTTATTTAGCCGAAAGTTTCTTGCCATGTATTTAGCCACCATCCGTCAGTAGCAAGTTGTCCATTTGTTGGTACGAATGTAGACCAGGACATACTGAAAGAAGAAACCATATTGGATAAAAGTCAATTGAGAATGGGTATCATTACTATTGTATATCATTCAAAAATGATTTTATTCAAGGCTCCGGTTGCCGGTAGGTGGTCTGCCATCCTTTTGGTATTTTTAAACAGCTTTCGAAATTAATGTTTTGAAAATTGAAATTTTAACTTGGAAGTTTAGTTATGGCACTAAGGTCGTCCAAGATCTATGTATGTGAGACAAATTCAAAACCATTATATGCAATTTAATGAATAACATGCATTTGTATTAGGTACCTACCTAATGCAAATAAAACAATTGGTTTATTTTTTTTGGCTCAAGCTTATAAACATTTCAATAATTTGTTTACGGAAAATCTTGGCAATGGATTACTGAATGGGTGGATTTCAAAACATTGATTTCGGTAATTATTTAGGTTTTATAAGAAAGTATGTAGTTCAACTTCTTTTTTAATCTACGTTTCAAATATAGGTACCTATCTATAGCAAGTTTTTTTTTTTCAGCTAACAGTTACTGCTGGTTATCTTGATGCAATGTAATGAATAAACACAATCTACACTGATATTACCTTTATGCGCATGCCTCAATGGTACCTGAATGTTCTTATTGGTCGAATTTTAAAACTGTTGCCGTCCGATCAATCAATCAGCCCATAAGTAGCCAGTAGGAGCACGGCATTCAGTGCAATCGTTGTGGGTTTGCCATCTCTGATCAGTCAAAATTGACTTAGTGTGGAATACACTCTACATACTCCAACTTTTAGGTTTGTACTGTATAATACAGGGCGGACCAAGTCTTTTTACTTTTCAAACAATGATAAAAAAAAAACTAGATAAATGGGAGATTTTTTTTTTATTTTTTACGAAAGTACACAGATAGGGATTTTATCTTTTAAAAATTACATCATCCATATGTGATCCTTGACTAACTTGACACTGCTGCAACTTGGAGCGGAAATTTTCAATAACGGCTTCGATTGAAATGTAAACGGACTTATGGTCCATCCTGTATGTGCATTTTATTTTAATTTAAAGCATACCTATTCCTCAAAAAATATTTCCAATGCTTCTTAAAAATTTAAACAGACTACAATTATTATCTACTATACCTTATATTGTTGAGGCGATTTCTTAAATAACAAATTATCGACTAAATGCTTTTAATTTCTGTAATACGCTCTTCCTTTAAAGTAAACAGTAAGCCCTGGCAAACAAAAACAGGAAAATTAGCGGCCGAGGAAAGACGCTATTCGGAAATAAACCGTAAGTTGATACATAGCTAATTGATTGACCGTATTTTTTTTTTATGAAGTTCGAAAAAAAAAACAGATTGTCCGCCCATGTCCTCACTTCATAATTTCAATAAAATGAATTTCCAGCGTCCAGAAAAATGTCAAATAGAATTTGAAGATGATATATTAGTAGAGTTCGCTGGAGCGATTGGATTTGAAAGAATTGAATTATAATCGGCCAAGATCATAATTTTGTAGATTTCGAAGGCATTTTTCAATAATATATTTCCAGTTAGTTTGGGACGATATATTTTTTGCGAAAAACTTTTACCTATTATCATCAGAAATTCATTCAATGGGCCAAAAAATCCGTCTATAGTCTATTCCATCCCAGTTGATAGCTCAAATCGCGGTTTAGGACCATAGAGTCATTGTAAACCCTATGGTTTACAATAGTTTTACAAGCACTTCATATGGCCCTAACCCTGGATTTGAGCTATCGACTCGACTGCAATGAAATAGACTATAGGTATGAACAGCCAATTTTTGCATTAAAATCCCGCTGCCTAATAGGAATTTCATGAAACTTAATAAAGTCGGCTAGCTTTCTGAGTTCCACCACAATAATTTGGGAAATGATAGGGCGGGTCTTTTACAAACTAAACAGTGTGGCGGAATATAAACCAATGGTATCTAAGAAAAACAGACGTGGTAATCGTAGCACCAACTAGCTAATAACTCATAGTATGAGTTTGTGTTGATTCTGGACACGGCCAGATAATGTGTTCGATAATGTTGCACTGGTGCAAACTCAAAACCGCGGTCTGTAACTAGCGAACATCCAATAAATGAGAATTTGGTTTCTCTTCATTGTCCTACAGGGCACAACCACGTATTGTGCAATCTGGCCGTGTCCAGAATCAATACGAACTTTGTTGTTTTTCGTAGATAGGTATACATTGGATTCTACTTGTTCTTCTCCCTAGACGTTTTCTATCCCCTGGATATAGGCGTCTGTCAGATTTTTCCAGGTACTATTCTGTGCGATCTGTCTGTCGATTGATGTCGTCGTACCAGCGTTGTTGAGGTCTGCCGACGCTTCTTTGTTTTCCCCAGGATCTTCATCTTAAGCGTTATTTCCTGTCCTAAATACTTGTAGGAGGTGACCTATTTCACCTGTTGGTTTTCTATGGTTATTGTGTCCCTATATGTTTGCTCATTTGTCATAAACACTGTTTTTGATGTTCATTTCTAATCCGATCTTCTTGGCATGAAGTAATTCTTTCAACATGATTTCTCAGTCTGTTTCGTTCGAGGCGAATATTACGATGACATCAACGAATCTTAGATTACTGAAGTTTTCTCCAGATATATTGATCCACCTATTTTCCCAATGTAGTTCCTTGAACACATTTTCGTGGACTAGCTCAAGTGATATTATATCGCCTTGTCTTACAACTCTTTTGATCTTCACTTCGTTTGTACCGTCATGAATTCTTAATTTTATTTTTGTTGCTTCTTGAATATTTTTGATTATGTTTATATATTCGTGCATATCTCATAGTTGTTTCCATCGCCAAGAATTCGATACTGTCGGCGAAGGGTTTCCTAAAATCGATGAATGCTAGCCATGTTGTAATGCTTTATTCGTCTTTACATTTAGTAGGTATTCTTATTGTGTGAAGAACACAAACATCTGGTTCCTGTTAGTATACCAAATACCAAATGATGCAAAAACATTAAACAGTATTATTCTAGGTTAGGTATAGGGTGTCTTTGAGTATAAATAAGGTGACTCTCGGAACTCTATCTCATCCTATGGCCTATTGTTAGCACAGTTCTCAAACTTTTCCCAAACATTTTCAAGACTAGCGTGTTTTGCGACAGTTGGGTTTTTGTTTTTCGGGTCCCGTTCTATAAAACAAAAAGTCCACTTGATATGGAAACAAAAGTTTTGTGTTTGTTCCAGTTTTGTTTTTGTTTTAGAACATGGACAAAACACAAACTCAACAGTCCGTTTAGTGGAAAACCGGCATAAGGAGTCGAGCCTTCGGACACAGCCTTCAGAAATTATGATTTACGAAACTCCTCTCTGTTTATAAGAGTGATAAAATTATGTAGGTATTATTTACCTATAAAGAAAAAAAACTAATGCGCGTTCCGTTATTTTATATTAAAAGATAAGAAACTGACTTTTATTAATTAGCAATTTTTCACTGATGATTAGGAAAAAAAAAATTGGATAGGAAGATTATACATGGCATATGGCTCTAAGTCTACACGAAGATTCTTCTTCACAAAAATTTTGAAAAAAAAAGCTATTTTTTCAGTATTATTGTTGGCTATATGCGGCTTCGTTCTAACTATACTCCAAGTCTATTTGAATTATTTGATTCTATAAGATCTCAATTATTGTCACATTTTTGAACACCGTAAAATTCAGTCTACTTTTGTCTCAACTAGAGATTAGATTTTGGAAATTATCAATTATTGAAATTTTACTCCGCTCCCAAAGCCTGTATCTAACACGAACAAATATTTAATGAGAAAAAATTTGTATTTATTTTCTGTAAATTAATATTTTTGTTGTTGTTTGAACTTGGCACAAATGATAAAAGGCGGTTACACACGGACGTGGATGGCTTAATACATATACGTGCATACATCAACGTGCAAACAACAACGTGCATGGCGCCTTTATACAGACGCTCGCACAAAACTGCAGTCTTGCTATTCTTGCTACAGTATTCCGAGTGTGCATACAAAATTGCACATTCAAAAACGCGATGATATTTTGCATACACATTGATGTTTTTGTTTGCGCGTTCGTGTATGTGCGTACATGTTTTCAGACATCCACGTCCGTGTGTAACCGCCTAATAGTAGAAGTATTCCTGGCCCTCCTAATTTCCATTTTAATTCGATTGTTCTTCACCTCGTGAATAATAATATTTACATTTAGGTACAAAATGATAATTTCCTCTTTGTTGAAAGCAATTTTTTTTTGTTTGTGGATGACTCAGAATCCCATAGGAATATTTTACTAAATAGTCAACAATTATATTATATCCCGATGTTTATACAACGTGGGGCAAAATGTTTACAACATATCAGAAAAACGTTTGTTGGAATTGTTGTGGATTGTTTTTTACCTATTCAAATGTATTTTTCTTTTTTAATTTTTCACAGGTCATGTGATTTAAGTATTTCATATTATGTCATAAATCGATTTTGAGCATGGGGATTTTGGGAACCATTAAAGATACAGGGTGGACCAAACGGGGAAAAAGTTGCGCAATCGAGTGCCTATAAATAATATGTCATCAACTTCTTTGAACTCGGAATAGCAACGGAGGGCAAAAAAGAAAAAAATGCATTTTATAAAATTCTTTATATCTTTTTTATTATAAAAGAGACAATAATGAAGAAATTTCTAGGGTAGGTGTAAGACTGGATGTAATGCACATGTAATGTACAATACAAGGATTTTATAAAACGCACTTTTTTCTGTTTTGCCCATATATACGTTGCTATTCCGAGTTCTAGAAAGATGATGAAAAATTATTTGCAGGCACTTGATTGCGCAACTTTTTCCCGATTTGATCCATCCTGTATCTTCAATGGTTTCCAAAATCCCCATGTACCTCTACTTCAAGTTATTCCGAACACCTTGTATAATAATAACATTGCTTTACGGGCGAAAAAAAAATATTTATTTCAAAAAATCCATCAGCAATGACAAGACCCTAAAACAAGTTAGAAACTATTGTTTGACTTGAAAATTGCAAATACCGGAATAACGAATTCAAGTTCAACTTCAATCTTAAAGATGAAATATATTTTTCAATTTTTCAAATGATTTACTGAACAACAAAAATAAAAGTGCCACAAAGGCTTAGACAGCAAATGATTTATTTAATCCGTGAACCAAATTTGCCGTACAAAAATTCTGAAACAGAACTCGAGAAATTTTGTGTTTGCCGCAGAGACTTCAAGTAAATAACTTTACCTATGAGAGACACGAGAGTATGACAATGACAGTGACTGTTTTTGAGTAGGTACAGTGGGAATCATTGCAATTGGCACATAATCTTTTAACATTCCTCGTAATAAGTCAAAATTCTAACCAATAAATGTATTTAGTGCAGTAGTGTACGTGATAATTTAACCCCTGTCGACCCATTTTCCCTTTAAATTCATGATCGTGCTACTGCCAGAACCTATAAGGCTAAGGTAACTGCTCGAATTGTCTCACCTTGTGCCATCATTTCAATTGCCTCTTGCCTTTTCGTCATTGTTAAGCATATGGTAAACCATTTTAGCAAACAAATATTTTTTCCCTTTAACAGTTTATTAAAACTATTATGTTCGCCACTGATTTATCAATCTGACAAGATTTTGACATTACCTGTGTGTCAAAGAAGTAAAATTTTTACACATTACGGGGGATGTTTTTGAAGTGTCTGCCAATTGCAATGATTCCCACTGTACCTATATGTAAATAAAAATTACTTACATTGATTCTAGATTCTTATTTCAATAATGGGATTCTACTGGAAGTTATAGTTTTGGATCAAATTATATCCCAAAATAAATTAGAAAATAAGCAAGATATCAAAACCTAATTCTCGAAATAAAAAAATGTAAAGTGTAAGAAAGAGGTAAAGGTGGGGAGAAATTGTTAATGTTAGGTGTGACATACATAAAAATTGACATTTTCAATACGTAGAAGAAATAGGAAGTTGTTAGGAATAGGATAAATTAATAACAGATGCTTTATTATTAAAAAAAAATAGTGCATAATTTGTAGACAAATACGGTGACATTGAAAATAAAGACATATAAATTACTACAACAAACTTGCCTTATATTGACAACAAACTCCTCTACTTTGTAATGTAGGAGTTCACATTACAAAGTAGAGGAGTTTGTTGTCGATATAGGGGAGCATGACAATTTGGATATTAATTTAATGCCTGAGAATGCTTATTGGTAACAATAATAAGTTTAACCTTTGCTATTCTGATTTTGAACTAGTGACGAATCTTTTATATGGCTGATACCGATGACCACTGATACGCAAAGCATACAGTGGGCTTCAAATAATTATTGGGAAGTAGGTAGAGTAATAAAATTTTATAACACAGTAGCACGTCTCACGAAATCAAAACTTGAAACTAGTAAATCGGTAGATAGTCCAAGCAATGAAGGAAGTTTACCTCAACATAATTAGAAGTTAACATTTTTTGGGGGGGATCGGTTCATTTTCATGTGCTTAATAACATATTAAGTTTGCGACCTTGTACTTCCATAGGGTTTTCAGTTAGGGGTGGTTTTTAGGGTTAATTTGCAGTTTATGGAGAACGCTGCTCAAAAGGATGATCCAATAGCAAAAAGTTTCAAATCAATGTTGTAGCTGAAGCTTTTTGCTATAAAAAACTCAGGGACAGCACCCTTCTATCTTCTATAGTTGTTTTTCTGCAGCGTCTTGAATAGTAGCATGTTTTTGTTCAAGGTCACTGAATCAACGTTTTGTCATTTTGCGCGCATTTGTTGCAGCAGCGGCCGAATGCATAACCCGATTTCAATTTTTCAAACACCACATTATTTCTAATGAAATGCACTCTCCAATGCTTTTTTGTTCGAATTTTTTGCTTGAAAATTAAGCGAGCACGGACTTGTCTAATGTGCGAGGAAGTTGTAAATTGCATCGAAAACTACCCCTTTCTTGCATTCACTCTAATTTCTAAACGGGGCCAAATATTTGGTGACAGTTTTCGACAATCGGCAGCCCATTTATTCCTCTCATAATGCCCCAGCGGACTTTTTTTTTCGTTAATCACTTAATGACTTATTGGCCTGAAAACGTCGCGCGCGATTTTTCAAAAAGTAAAAAAAAATTAAAATTGTCGCATAGCGCTGAAATTTGGTACGATGGCTTTATTTATTGTTCTCATGATTATACTGCAATTTTATATCATGTGAAGCAATTAAAATTGCAGTATATTCGTAAGAACAATAAATAAGGCCATCGTACCAAATTTTCAGCGCTATGCGACAATTTTATTTTTTTTTTAATTTTTGAAAAATCCCGCGCGACGTTTTCAGGCCAATAAGTCATTAAGTGATTAACGAAAAAAAATCCGCTGAGGCATTATGAGAGGAATAAATGGGCTGCCGATTGTCGAAAACTGTCACCAAATATTTGGCCCCGTTTAGAAATTAGAGTGAATGCAAGAAAGGGGTAGTTTTCGATGCAATTTACAACTTCCTCGCACATTAGACAAGTCCGTGCTCGCTTAATTTTCAAGCAAAAAATTCGAACAAAAAAGCATTGGAGAGTGCATTTCATTAGAAATAATGTGGTGTTTGAAAAATTAAAATCGGATTATGCATTCGGCCGCTGCTGCAACAAATGCGCTTAAAATGGCAAAACGTTGATTCAGTGACCTTGAACAAAAACATGCTACTATTCAAGACGCTGCAGAAAAAAAAATAAAGAAGATAGAGGGGTGCTGTCGCTGAGTTTTTTATAGCAAAAAACTTCAGCTACTACATTCATTTGAAACTTTTTACTATTGAACCATCCCTTTGAGCAGCGTTCTCCATAAACCGCAAATTACCCCTAAAAACCACCCCTAACTGAAAACCCTATGGAAGTACAAGGTCGCAAACTTAATATGTTGTTTAGCATATTAAAATGAACCGATCCCCCCAAAAAAATTTCAACTTCTAATTATGTTGAGGTAACCCCTCTTTTCAGATCTCCGTTTCTTGGACTAAGATACCTATATTTGTTCAAGATAAAAAATTGATAAACATACCTTTGTTTTTTTTTTCTATCAAACTCTAAGTAGGTATGATTTATTTGCTCCTTTCTAAGATAAAACCAAGTTTATTCGGATAATGCAAATAGTAATCACCTTGAATTTATTTTGTAGTTTGTTTTGCTAAAATGTTTACAATATTTTGTATTGACGCTGCACTTTGGCGCGGAAAACTTGGGAAAGCGTCGCGATACTTTTAAGAAGGCGTCGAAAAGCGATATGATTTCGACGGAGCCTATCGCGACGTCTGACGAGAGACTGATGGAGCTGTGGTAAGATATGGAATTAACAAAATATAATCGATCATTGATAATAAAATGATTAAAAGGTAAAGCAACCTTGTCACCGCATGGTTTATCATTTTAAATTTAAAAATATTGACAAGGATTTGATACAGTGCACGTAGGTAGTCCAAGGATAAGCGTCGAAATGAGGACAGAGGCAAGATGAGGCATTTGCTTCTCAACCCCTCTGGAGGTCCACCTTATACAATTTTTATTTCCGTAACGGTAATAAGGAGTTCGTATTGTTATATCTGTACACGTTAACTGCCGCACTAGAGTAAAAAAAGCGTTTCGAGGGGGCCATCAATATATTTCTTTATTTTCAGATAATGTTGAGTGCGAGAACACATTCTGTGACAAAAAAAACCCAAAATAGTCTCAAGGGTTGAAGTTACCCCCGTGAATCTTACATAATTCACGCAGCCTCAGAAGCAAAATGACAGCTTCTAGGCCACGTGAATTATAGTTAAAAGTACCTACATACATATTTTATTTATTTTTATATTATAAAGAATCATTTATTTTAAGCACAGGAACTAACAAAAAATCAATCAAATAATAAATACTTGTTCCATTAATTGTTTTTTTTTAATTATTTTCACCTGAACTTAAAACGCATGGCCGTATCTCTAAACCGTAAAAAAAATTTAGGCCATTCACAGATATTTGCTCCCCAGGCCACACTTTTTAAGATCCCATATACTGGCCACGGTCGCGTGCATTACCTGCTATGCACTCGGCTTCAGAAATAAAAACGCTTTGGAATCATATATGATTCACACGGCCCCCTGAGCTCAAGGCCGTGTGAATCATATTTAATGCATATGGCAGTTAACGTGTTAACGAAGTGAATATCTTCTGTTGGATGAACGACCGACCAATATTCGCTTATCTACTTCGTGAAGTCATTCCTAGACAGCCAGTGGTGGCTGAACTATTAAAGGATTAAAAAATAATCTACCAGGCGGAGATTGGATGCGAGGCTTTCTTACCAGACACAAAAATGTCCATAATGAGAAAATATGAAGAGTTAGAGCTGCACGAAAATAATTCAATTTTTGGATGAACTGCGGAACAAGTTTAAAAGGTTGCACTTGCAGACAAACCCACCTAAAATGGAAAATTGAGAAACTGTGGGACGATCCCACGTATTTCTACGACTTTTAAAGAAGTGGTTCAACCGATCTGAATCTGCATGATCGAACATCGAAAAATTTCGTTTGCTGGATTTCAAGCCAGTGGAACGATGAGGACCAAATTAATAATGGATAATGTATTCAAAATCTTGAACTCAAAAGGCAGCCAGCCAACGCAAATAAAGAGAAAACCGCAAAGTTTAAAAAAGGCAACCAACCTCTGAATCAAGCAAAAATTCTGAAAGATGTCCGAATTTTGAAGAACAAAAATCAGAAACCCAACATGATGAAAACAAGGGTCTAGTTTTAAATCAAAATTTGTAGATGATTTAATTGGCTTTAACTGGAGCTTAATTACATTGGAATCGGAAGAAAATTAACGGAGCTGTGACGCAAAAACTGCCTCAGTGTCACTTTCTTGCAATGTTCGATTAATTCAATTTTAAGGCTTCTCAGGTGCAAAACTGTTGAAACTAAATAGAAGTCTTAATGAATAGGTTTGTGGATAATTTAATTGGCTTTAATTTGAGCGTAATAACGTTGAAGTCGGATAGAAATTAACGGAGTTGTGAGGCAAAAACTGTCTCAATGTTATTTTTGACAAATTTTCGATGTTCGATAAATTCAATTTTGAAGCAGGTGCAAAACTGTTGAAACCAAATTAAAATTTCAAGAAGTTTGTGAAGAATTAAATTGGCTTTAACTGGAGCTTAATTACACTGGAATCGAATGAAAATTAACGGAGCTGCGAGGCAAAAACTGTCTCAGTGTCATTTTTGAGAAAAATTAAATGTTCGATAAATTAAATTTTGAAGCTTCTTAGCTGTGAAATTGTTGACACTAAATTAAAATTTTGCTCAATAGGTTTGTAGGGAATTTAATTGGCTTTAATTAGAGCCTAGTTGCCTTGAAATTAGATAAAAATTAAAGAAGCTGTGAGGCAAAAACTGTCTCAGTGTCACTTTCTTGCAAATTTTCAATGTTCGACAAATTAAATTTTGGAAATTTTCTCATGTGCAGAACTGTTGAACTGAAATTGGAAGAAAATTAACGGAGCTGTGAGTTAAAAACTGTCTCAGTGTCATTTATGAAAAATCTGTTTTCGATAAATTCAATTTTGAAGCTTCTCAGGTGCAAAACTGTTGAAACTAAATAAAAATCTTGATCAATAGGTATGTAGAGAATTTAATTGACTTTAATCAAAGCCTAATTACGTTGAAATCGGATAGAAATTAACGTAGCTGTCAGGCAAAAACTATCTCAGTGTCATTTTTAGCAAATTTATAATGTTTGATAATTTCCATTTTGGAGCTTCTCAGGTGCAAACCTCTTGCAACCAAAGCAAAATCTAAATCAATAAGTTTGTAGAGAATTTAATTGGCTTTAACTGGAGTTCAATTACACTGAAATGGGATGAAAATTAACGGAGCTATGAGGCAAAAACTGTCTCAATGTCATTTTTGGCAAATTTTCAATGGTCGATAAATTCAATTTTGAAGCTTCTCAGGTGCAAAACTGTTGAAACTTGAAACAAAATACAATTCTAAGTGAACACAAAAACCCTACAAAAACTATCACAATAACCTGCAAAAACCCAATAGAAAGGATAACACGCACACCTAACATGGGATTTTTGGGCTCTATGGATTTTGCCTATTTTTTAATATATTGTAGAGGATTCAATTCTTAACAGCCTTTAAATGGGACGAAATCTTGTAGGTTTTATGGTCTTTGAGATATGAGCGTTGAAAGATGAACTTTTTTGCGACTTTTTCTGTAGAGAGTATACGAAATACTGGTGTTTATCAGTCAAAATATTGACACACGTTCACATATTTCACGTCAATAACAAATTAATGCCAACAGGCTAAGGCCGAGACCGCACTGGGGTCCATGTTGGCGCCAGTGCTGTCCCGGCATTAGCCTATGTTGACGTTTGTTAGTGACGTAATATGTGAACCTGTCAATATTCTGACTGATAAACACCAGTATTTCGTATACTCTCCACACAAAAAGTTGCAAAAAAATTCATCTTTCAACGCTGATATCTCGAAGACCCTAATACCTACAAGATTTCGTCCCATTTTAAAAGTTGTTAAGAATTAAATCCTCTACATAGAGCCCAAAAATCCCATGTTAGGTGTGTGTTATCCTTTTCAAAAACTTGGGTCCTTCCCTTCCTTCAAACTTGGGTCCTTTCTTCGTTTTTCCTAAGCTAGACTAACGAGCTTTAATAAGAGCGAAACGCATCTACTATGGAAAAGGCAAATTAGGAAAACTACCGTTTCTAACAAAGTAGTACCTACACAGCAGAAAATCACTTCCTAGAGTTCTACAATTTAGGGCGATTCGCAGTTTTCCATCAGGAATTTCATCTTCATTGTATCTAGGAAAAAAAGGTTTTTTTTTCTAAATAAAACTCATGAAAGATTCAATCTGTGAAAGTTTATATGAAACACTATATAACCTATTATTTATTACTAGTTATCAGTGGCGACTCAATCAATATTTCCTGATGTACTGCAGAACTATAAACGATTTTTTTCAAATTCGGTTTGGTGTATGGTTAGTGGATAAAATCTGGAATAATACTATATAAAATATTTTTCCATTCATTTATTTAGCAATAGTTTGCAATTAGAAAACCTTACAATACACCATCCGTGATGCAATTAAACTTAAATATAATTTACATTTCCCTTAATCTAAACAACACTAGAAAGTATAACAAATATAAAAAGTTTAATTTCAATTTTAATAAGTCCTGCCAAGATATCAGGTGTACAATGATATTCATTATACCATTTACCCATTTTCAGTTCACTTCATTACAGAACATTATTATGAGAACCATGGTTACATCCTATTACCAACCAAAAAACTGGTTGCTACACATCTACAATTAATCTTTCGAGCCGCCACTGCTAGGTTGCATATCTCTACAACAGAGTTATACTAAATTCTAGGTATTCCCCAATTCATACTGGTTACATTTAAGAAAAAAGCATTAATAAACTGGTGACTGTCTAAAAAAACACGCCAGTTCCGATTTCAAGTAGTAAATTATTTATTTCGGTTCAGAAAACCTATGTCAGTATTTTGTTCAGTATAAACACTAACGGTATCTGAAGAAGGTACAAAATAGTACCGCAACCTTGGTATGTAATGAAGAATTATTTTCTAAAAAAAACTGTTTGGCTGATTTACCTGGCTATCTCAGAAAAAAGGTATCTTGGGCAGTCACAAAAAATATCAGTTTTATTTGGAAGATTGAATTATACATGGGGCTTTTATGCTAAAAATACCCCCGACATTTTTGCCTTTACATTGACAAAAACAACTTAAATTATGTACAACTATTCATGTATAAAACACACACACACACATTATTCCTCTTATAAATAAAGTATCACATACCTATAATTATTATCCCTTAAATTAATTATAAAAAGGCTAACAAGAAGAGATACATTGGTTGATTTTAAGAGGGAGGGAAGTTAAGGGTAGGGGGTGGAATCAACTTTCAACCAAAATAGTTTTGTTATTTTGCACACAATCATCTAACTTTTTCGAGTGACGTCAATGTGACCTCATCTATCATAATATATACTCACTAAAAAAATTGTGAAAAGTTGAATCTCATCAATATGATCTCACTGTGTAATGCAGATTTTGCAGAATGAGTCAAAGTTAACAGCAGCCGAAAAATAATAAAAAGTCGAAGCTGTCACTTGCCCGAGTTTTAAAAGATGTGTGATTGATATATTATATACACCTAAAACTTAAGTAAAAAACTGCTTACATATTTCAAAATTGAAAAATTATAACTCTCCAATAGAGATTTTGAAAAGTATCGGGAAATTGGAAAGCTGAACTAATTTAATTGATTCCTGTATGCAAATAATACTCTAAATCAAATCAACTTTAATTGTCGGAAGATACTTATCTAATTGACAAAGCATTATTGAATTTATAAACTAAAATCCTAATTATTGTGAAAGCAATAAATTCAGGACTTGATTGAATCACGCAGAATATACTATTGAAACTTTACAAGTGAAATTAATTCTAAAATTACATAAAGCTTTTCACAATGTAAAACTAATGAGCTGAAAGGCGTACAATACGAGGCTTGGCATGCATACATTTCAGTCATCATCCTGAAACACTATTTTCTTAACATAGTGAAATGTATGTATTCATTTGACAATTTGATATCATTGTGAGCAGTGTAGGCAAGCAATAAATTAACACCATCTTCAATATCTTAATCAGAATAAAATTGTCTTTTCGGCAGGTCTATCAATAAATCAACTTAAGTATACAAACAATATGTATATTTTAATAGAGCTGTCAAAAATTATTTCCAAACTTCGAAAGTACAAATAAAATCAAATGGGAAAGTTTTTACCAGCATGTGCTGTATGTATTCGACATTGATTTTATTGCGTCATTATAGGCCAAGAAATAAGTTTCATCTTCAAGGGACTGCAATGTTTCCTTTCACAATTAAATCACTGCTTTTTTCGAACAGTTTCGGAAAAATAAAGTCTGGCAGTATAATTTACGACTATGCCAAATGTTTAGTTCTAATGTCAAATCAATATTACGTCACTTGGAAAGCATTTCACTGCTCCAAACATGGACAGACATGTCAACTCGACTATCGGTATTTATTTATGCAATAATTTGATACATATCATTGAACAACAAATGTAAAAAAAATAAATTATTGAAAATTATATGTACAAATCATGCTCTTGAGTTCATTCCTGAACTTGGTCATTAACGCTGCCATTTAGCGAGAAAAAAACGAACAAACTACCCCATCTGTAAAAATCTTAATGGTCCTAATGGTCAATGGATCACTTTTGTGTTCTGTGTCAAGTATTGATAATAAAGTTCAAATTATAAACCTCTTGAAAATAAAGAATTTTTGTATCCAGAACATTTTAGTAATATATTGCCCCATTTTACACCCTCAGGATCTCCAAAGACTTATTGTAACAGATTGCAATCCAATCGGGCTGTGTTGCGCCCCATTGAATCTGATTAACTTCGCCTTCAGCAGCTGTATATGCGAGAATAGGGTCCTCTATTGCCCTGGGCATTTGTTGAATGTCCCATATGAGAGCTTGGTGATCATCGCCTAAAAAAAAAAACATTATAAAAGTACAACTTTAGCAAAATCTTATTTATTGTTACTCACCTGCTGTGCAGATATGACAACTTGAGTGTGGTGCCCATGCAATTCCATTAACACAAGCTCTGTGATTGTTCAACCTTGCTACCGGAGTACAAGGTACTCTGACGTCAAGAATTATAACTTCACAAGAGTCCATTGCAATGGTTGCCAAATAATTTGGATCTTGTTTATTCCAGGCGAGTCTTAGCAAAGGTGTGTGCGCAGGATCCTCATAGATTATAGTAGAATGTTCCAGATGTCGCAGGTCAAACATTCTAACAGATCCATCAGCACCAACTGAAGCAAACATATCTCTTCCTCCTCCAGCTCTTGAGAACGCTATGTCATATACTTCTTTGTCATGTGCTATTAGTTGGGTTTTAACATGTCCGGATACTAAATTTACTCTGCCCATTACCTATAATAATTTTTTGACTTGACTTTATGAATAAAAGTTTATACATTTAGTATAAGGTGCTTTTGTGTACTTACAAGTTCTCAAAGTTTGCAATTATTTTTTTTATTGTTGTAACCTTATTGGTTTTATTTCAAAACAAATTTGGTTTATACAAAACCCAAAAATAGTGATATATTTGTATTACTGGGTCAGTGTCAAGCTCATCATATTATATACACTGTATTATATTTACCTGTCCAGTTTCAAGACCCCATATTGTACAAGTAGTGTCAATCGAAGAAGTTCCAACTAGGTTTGGATCAACTTCGTTCCAGTCAAAGCTTGTCAAAGGTGCACAGAAGTCAGAGTTTTTGTTGTTGTTCAAAACACACTCAAGTCTCGTATCTGGGTCTGAAGCTCTCCATACTCTGAGGTAGTCTCCGCTGTAAAAACAATCTGCTATACAAAATATTTTTTTCCCCAAGGTTGTCTCCATTTTTTTTTGGTAAATCATGATCAGCACAAATATGGCTGTAATTTTACAATAGAAAATAGACATTTTGTCACAACTTATCCTTGGCGTGACGGGGTGCGTAGCGAAGGGGCAGATTAATAGAGACTCGCTTGGTACTTAATTGTATAGAATTACGTTAAGAATGGTGATAACAATAAGTTACAACTAGTAATTACCAAAGATTGGCCTGGCCCTATGTTTCATAGTGCCTCTTCTATAGGCGCACAAGGAAGCTACCTGAAAGACACTAAGCTACTTTAGGTGCGATTCGCCGACGTATAGGCCGTCCAAAGGGGCTTTCCCAAAACAGGTAATTGCACTGGACGAAGTCTCAAGAGACCCATAAGGGCTTTCCCAAAAGAGTTATTTGCGCTGGTTCAAGCCTTCCTATCCATATCCGTTTATTGCTGACTCGCCAATCAATAAGTCGATCAATCATATACAGTGTGATATTTTTCTAAGTAGCTTTGTCTAGAGCTTTGCTTGTTGACAATAAGTATTCTAAATAAAAAAGAACATATGAAATAATAGTGACTAATGGGTGAGTAGAAGACGTACACAGCTACATATTTACATAGACACAGGAGTAGTCACATTATTAAAACAAATACACATATCACATTTAATTTCCAGAAGAGGAATTCATTGTCCCAGAACAATTTAAGGATTTCAATTATTACATCTAGGTATTATGACATCAGGAAGTCCGGGTTTGGTTAGAAACTACTGGTTAGTCAGTGTAATTTGAGGAATTTTACAAAGATTTTTGAAAAAATTATTGAAGGTTGAAAAAAAAATAAACGCGTCAGAATCGTTTTTTTTTTCAGAAGTAAGTACTTATTACTAGCACTAGCTTTTAAAAAATACAAAGTGTACTGTAAAATGTTCTCAAAACTGATAAAAAACACAAAAATTTCCTATTACACGGAGTTAGCATACAGAAAAGTGCTAAAGACCTTTAAAATCTCTGGGGAGTGATAAGGGAGGCCACAAACGATAAGGGATGCAAAACTAATATAAAAAACATGGTAGGTAATAACTGAAAAGAAAGAAATGGCTGACACATTTAATCACGTCTTCACAAATATTGGCAACCAACTGACAGACACAAATGCAGCAACTGGTGGGAGAGACTGACCAACATCGTCCATCGTTAAAGGCGATTAACCGGTCCGTCATACTTGACAGATAATCAATGAAGCAAACGTCATTTGTCAGCCAATCGGTATAAAATAGCGTCAAATGCATTGTCTATCTGTCAAATTAACAGATTGGTTAATCGCCTTTAATTGACTCAACTCTTTTCTTTCAGATCCCGTTTCAGCGAGAAATTTTTTAACACAAACTAACAAACTTAAAAATGGCGTAACGAGAGGGGAGGATCAGATCTGCCCTAATTTAACCCAGCATTACACGCATCAAAAAACTTACGTTATTTCACGCGTACGGTCAAATCGACCGCATGTTTAAATCGACCAAATGTTTGTATGAATTATTAGCTTTATTCGCGGAGACGATCCCAAACGTATCCCGAACGCTAAGGCATGACCTACGCAGATTAACTAATCAATAGAGACATGAAACTCTCAGTTTGGCAACATGGCGTGTCAAGTTCAAAAGCACGAACATGTGCTCCGTGAAAAAAAAAGTTATTTTTGTAGTAAAACCAAGAATTGTAGTGCAGTGATGTGCGTAAACTGCGGAAAAATTTTTCACCTGGTCTCTGCGACCCGGGATTGGGCAAAAAAGTTGACTTTTCTGGACGAAACGCGAGTAAAATGCTGCAATGAGGTGACAGAACCACAAAAAAACGCCATTGAAAATGCGCCAGAAAATCGCGATAAAAGCAAGCTATACTGGACAGAGTAGTGGCAGAGCTGCAATCAAAAAAACAATTACTAATGGAAAACAAGAGTTTACTGGAAGAAAAATCAAAATCCTCAAGGAAAAGCTACGTAAGTAAAATCGCAAGAAAAAACCGGCCACGAACACCAGTCGCGTTCCTTCAAGAGTGGGAAGTTTTCAAAGCGCCGACAACACTGCCAAGTGACGCCAATGACAGTGACACGGAGAACAGCAGGAGCACAGAAATGGTTTGGCAAGAACCACGTGACAGCCACAAAAGCAAAGTATACGAAAAACAAGAGGTAAAACCGGCAACATTGGAAGTCGAGGATGACAATAAAGAAGTCAGATCATACCCTCGAACGACAGACGTCAAAATTATATTATGTCAATAACGAAATCAGCTGATCAAATCAAAATTGCCTGGAGTGCGTTCAAAGACGGCAATGCTAATGCCAAAACCTACTTTTCCCCTTCTACCGGCGATGCCAAATCTGGTGTGAATTTGCTGGAACGCCAAATACCGTTTCTCAATTAGTCAATTCAAACCACACGGCATTCAAGATGGCGTGGCGCCCACACATGGATCAAAAAATACAAAAAAATATCTAGCTTCTGCTCGACTTAATAATTTACGTACCTAGTTAACAAATATTTTATTGAATAATCAAAATCAAAGCTGCAAGCAAAACTCGAAACAAAATAATTGAAATATGCATGAAAACGCATATTCAAAACTAACTTGCTGGCCGCCACGCCATATTGAATTTGGTCTCATCCAATCAAAATTCGTATAACCATTTCTAGACTCAGTTAAAGGAGCCTCCGAAAGTTACTTTACTGCGGCCGATTTTGAACGTGTAAAGCCAACCGTTTTTCGCACGCTGGAGCCGAACTTGAACGCAATATGCCAATTTTGGCTTGGCTTTAGCCGTTTTTGAACGCAGCCCTGGTAGAAAAATCGCAAAAAAATTACCAAGCAAAGGAAGAAAACACACAAAATTCTCCCAAAACTAACGGAACCCCTTCCTATGGCGTTTCACGTTCAAATTCGAAGGGATGCTGGTTCAAGGGATGCCTCATCATCCCTCAAAAGGAAAATTCCTTGCCAGCCGTCGAACTTAGAAAAATCATCGCTTGTATGAGAAAATATTAAATTTCCAATATTTTTTCATACAAGCGATGATTTTCCTAAGTTTGACGGCTGGCAAGGAATTCTCCTTTTGAGGGATGATAAAGCATTCCTTGAACAAGCATCCCTCCAAATTTGAACGTGAAACACCATTTAGGTGTCTGAAGAAAAAATAAGAAAATATGTAATTTTTAATATTTTTTCATACAAGCGATGATTTTCCTAAGTTCGACGGCTGGCAAGGAATTTTCCTTTTTAGGGATGAAAAAGCATCCCTTGAACAAGCATCCCTCCAAATTTGAACGTGAAACACCATCTTCTAACTTCACACTTTGGCGTGCGGGAACAAGAAATATCTGTCTCAATTTTAAGACAAAACAACTTTTTTTTAAAGATAACATGAGTATTATTTACATTATTGAACAAACCGTATCAAATTTACCAGATCGGCTTTTTTTGCAAGCTTGTTTAGCTTGCTTAAATATTTTAAAAATAAAATCAGCAAAAAAATTCTGATAAGTATAGGTATTATCTCCGGTATTATCTTGTTCCCTAGACCATTTTTATGTGTGTATTTTTATATTTTATAAGTATTTTGTGTTTGTATGTTTGATATTATTATTGTTATATTATGTAATAGTGTAACATGTAATAATGTTTTTTTTTTATGACATGATCAACACCCTAGAGGTAAAAATGTAAATAACTATAGTGATACGCATAGTACTGTGAATTGTATTTAATTTTTCATTACATATTCGAATAAAGAATCTATCTATCTATTTATCAAATAATACCTGCGTAAGTCATGCCTTAGCTTTCAGCCAGCATACGTTTCGGATCGTCTCCGTGAAAAAAGTGTCAAAGCACTATAATTCGTAGAAGGTACTCCCAATATGAGAAAATGCCAATTTTGAACTCAAATATTTCAGATACCTACTCAGGTTTACACGCCTGGTCAAAAGCACCGACTTTGAAAACAACGAACTATACTTTAACAAAAAGCCAAAATATTTTTGGGACAATGGGTAGTGGAAAACCTGCATCAGGCATTCTTCGATGGACAAAACTGCCACCCTTCTACCAGTGGCGTAATTACTGATTTTATCAATGCGCATCCGGTCCTTATGGCCGAAACGCGTGTATTCCCGGGTTAAAATGATATTGATAAGGCCACTGTGCCATATTATTATTAATTTAGTTTTTGGTACAAGTGTGTTTCCTGAATGCTTAAAGGCAACAGTTATAAGGCCTATTTTTAAGCAAGAACGCCTAAATTCAAAAAGATTAACTTTGAATTTTAACAGACAAATTTATTATTTACAGTGCAATATAAAATATTGAGTTTCTATTATCATATGCAGATTTGTGATTCTCGCCGCGTTGTAATTTTTTTAATCCTTGTTAAACTTTGTCCTCGTCGTTCTGCTGACAAGTAGTACTGATAAAGGCCAAGGCCGGAAGCGCTCAATTATGCAATAAATTGAATTGTGCATGGAATTCGAATTGTTTCCTTTCTTATCACATTAAATTACTTCAGTTGCACTTAATTAACAACCAGTAATAAGAGATTAGGATTAGTGACTCAATAAGTTAAATTCCAAAAGCACACACACATTATTTCATATAGGTACTTACCATTGTGTGATGAATTTTTGCAAAAGAGAGGAATTCTATATTATTAGGTATTTAGTTTAATTTTGGGATAAATTACCTTGATTTTGCTTTTTATATGGGGTATCATTTGCATTTTATTTTTATTATTATAATGTCTCTTCTATTTTCTATTGCTAAATAAAAAAATTAATAAATACGATAATTGGTTGTAACATTAAATTAAAATTAAAGCAGAAGATCATGCTTTTCAAGCGAAAAAAAAAACAAGAACATGATTACAGCAGAGAATAAAATAGAAAATATAGAGATAGAATAGGCAAAAAAGACTATAAAGTATTTAGAATTAATTCCATATAAAACGTTGAGCTAGTCTGAACACATTGAATAAGTAACACAAAAAACATCTATGACTGGTGAACTCTTAGATTATGGTGCACTCTTTAAGCGCAGAAGTTATTTAATGCATAATAGCTTTGTTTATTTGCACGAACCGACACTTTCGTCACTTTCTACACCAAACGTGTTTGTTTATCCTAGTGTCGCTTAAGTTCTATAATCAGCTGTACAGGGTGGCACATTTTTGATGTTTTAATGGGCTACATCGAAAACCAGCAGACATATCAAAAATCTGGGAACCTCTCGAGTTTTTTTTTTTGAGAAAATAACAATGGCGAAGACAAATCACGGCTAACTTGATGGGTTTAGGAAATACAGGTCAATTTTCAAATTTTGTCCAATTTCAAAATACCTTCTAAATTCTTTATTAATCAAGGAATCCAAAAACGAAAAATACTTTCTAGAGGCAGTTTTTCAAGTAGAATCCAGTGGCGTAAGCAATTTTTTCTAGATGCCACTGATTTTGGAATATTAACCAAAGTTGTGTTTTTTTTTAAATAGGACACCCTGTATATTATTTTTTCATTGCATAGCCCTTTTTAAGCTGATTTTAATGATATAAGGTTTTATAGCTTTACCTTTACCTAATAGTTTTGGAGAAAAAAAAAAGAAATTCCGTTTTTCTATTGAAACAATGAGTTAGAAAGAGATAGTTAAACTATGAGTCAGCTACAAATTTCTCAATTCTTAATTTAATTTTTCAATAAAGTTATTTTTTTTTAAATTTGAACTATGAATTGGGGGTGATAAATGAGCAAAACATAATTTATTCAAGGACTTATCGCTTTCTAGCTCATTGTTTCTTATGGAGAAACCAAATTTATTTTTTTTTCTCAAAAACTATTGAAGGTAAAGCTATAAAATCTTATATCAGTGAAATCAAAAAGAGCTATGCAATGAAAAAATAATATAAGGGGTGTCCCAACACAACTTCAGTTTATATTCCACAATTGGTGGCATCTAGAAAAAAACTGGTCACGCCACTGGATTCTACTTGAAAAACTGCCACTAGAAAGTATTTTTAGTTTTTGGATATCTTGATTAATAAGGAAATTAGAAGGTCTTTCAAAATTAGACCAAATTTGAAAAGTGCCCTGTACCTCTTTCCTAAACGCACCAAGTTAGTTGTGATTTGTCTTCGCTATTGTTTTCTCAAAAAAAGAGCTCGAGAATGTGCTCCCAGATTTTTGATATCTTTGCTGGTTTTTGATATGATCGAAAATGGGCCACCCTGTATTGATTTTCAATTTGCTTCAAAAAATACAATTGCTCGCGAGGTGGTGTAATGTTGGTTCCAAAAGTGCAAGTTTGAGAATAACGGAGAATGGTGAAACCTGTTTTTTTATAATTTTCAAATTTCCTGCTATATTAACATGTCTTGCACCGGTTCTACACCAAGATCAGAGTATATTTTATTTTGCATCACACTTGAAATACCTTATTCTGGTGTCAGAGTGTCAATTTCAAAAGGATGCAAACAATAAACTACTAAAAATTCTTTTTGATATTGACTGTGTATGCACTCCCCCCGACTTATTTATACCGGGATGTTGGTGTATACCAGCTAGCTCAACTTTCAAATCCAGAAGAGGGTAAATATATTTATGAAAAACTGAATAAAACACAAACATGTAATCTCACATACACAAATTATATTTAGAAAAAACATGCACAATTAGGTATAACAACTACTAGGTCTTTTACTCAGTCTTTTAACAGTATTTTTATGTATTAAGATTAAGGGGAAATACTTATATAAGGCAACCTTGCAGGAATCAGTGCCACACAAGGTTCAGTACGTGTCTGGGACACAACCAGGTAAAATTAAATAAAACTAGAAAAGTATTTTGTGCGTTTCATTTCCTCCTTTTAACGTACATTACATTGGCAACAAGGACTTTAAATAAATGGTGTACCTAGGGGATAATTGCGGTGGGATAACGCGCTGCTCATACTTTTAAACAAATACATGATTATTTTACAAGAGGTAGACAAAATTATATCTTGGCTGATGTGAGGAAAACCTCATCTCAAAATTCAATATTTTTCAAAGAATAGAATAGAATAGAATAGAGAGAATAGAAAAAATATTTACTATGCAATACTTAACAATATACATATAATATATATATATATATATATACCATCACAATATCACATAAAAGGTGATATTCGCACAAATAAAAATAAAATAAATGTCTCCAAACGCTATAACATATTTTGTAAAAGATACTGTCTAAAATTAGTCTTAAAGTCTTTTAATGAATAAAAATTTAGTGAGATAAAAATACCTGAGCTCAGCAGCTTTGTGGCCAAATAAACAAACAAATTTTCAAACTTAGATGTACGATGACTTGATAAAATATTTCCATAAGTAATTCGGACACACAACTAGTACACTAAAGTGCAATCTTACTCTATATTCATATTTTAACAAGTAATTTTCTAATTAAATGTGAGAAATATGATCATATTTCCTAATGGAGTAAACAAATCGCATACACGTATTTTGTACTAACTGTATTTTATTTTTGTACTCTACAGTTAAGTTATTATAGTATACCACATTACAATACTCCAATTGTGGATAAAGGAGTGATTCTACCAGTAGTAGCTTGATTTTCACCGGAAGGGTATTTCTGAATGGGTACAAGCTCTTTAACTTGTAATAAATTAAAGATACCTTTTTGTCAACATGTCATTCGAAATCAAACTGTCACTGCTTTAGATCTTTCCCCATCGAGAGTTACAATTTGTACAGGAAATCGCAAGTAACTGGAGAGCCACAAGCATATTTCATCGGAAAAAACATAGTAGCCAAATTTCGCAATGAGCCTAATGGCTCGTATGAATAAACCAGAAGCAAATGCTTTTACTTAAGTTTTTTTGAGATAAACATATTCAGCTTCAATACAGCAAAAAGAGATGGATGTAGAGTAAAAGCATTCGCTACAGTGTATTCGTATGACCTATGATTTATAAGATCAAAGGTCTTGCTATAGTCCAAAAGTACCAAGCAAGACACTTTACTCTAGTCAATGTTATGTACAATATCAGATGTTACTTTTGTAAGAGCTGTGGCTGTACTATGGGATCTCTGAAACCCTGATTGCACTTCTGGTATTATTTTTTTAACACTAGCATACTCACTTATTATATTAAATACAATTATTTCGTGCATTTTCGCAAGTATTGGCAAGAGACAGATGGGCCTAAGTTCGTTTATGCTAGTTATTTTAACAGTCTTTGGAAGAGGTCTGACAAGTGAGGTTTTCCATATAGTTGGAAAAACTCCCCTCCGCAGACACCAGGTAAATATGTGAGTAATGACTGGGGCCACAAAATCCAAACTAAACAACATAATATCATAGCTCAATCCATCTGCCCCCGTGCTTTTGGACAAAATTCTAGAAAATGATCTATAAACATCTAACTCTGTTACATTTCTAAAAATACATGGGTCATTATCGATATTCATTTTATTCTCTCTATAATATTCTAAGGTTAAAGTGTTTACAGGAATTGCCATTTGCTGCACACACAATATTTCAAATATCATTGTGCACCTAAAAAATGTTTGTTAGCAGTTTTAGCATTAGATAATGGTAGGTAATTATTATTATTATCATTATTGAAAATTTATAGCAATAGATATTGTTGATTGTAACTTGAATTTATAATTTTGTTCATTGTTACATTTAAGAGATAAGAAAATAAAATTAATTATTTTATAGGTGTTGATTATTATAATTATAGCAGCTAATCACATTGAGTTTTGTAAAAATAATATATTTTGTTAAATTGTACAATTGATGTGGAAGTCCCGTCAATAAATAAATAAATAAATAAATAAATTTTATTGTCGTTGATTTTTTGTTAAGTTTGGAAATATTGCGATTTTTTTTGTTTTGGTTTTTTTCTCGGTTTTTTCATATATTGGGTTATAATAAAGAGGAGGGCGGTATTACCTATAGATTTCCAATTTTTATGTATAGACATAGCTCAGACATACTCATAATGTAAGCTTTAACTTTTGTAATGGAAGTTTCCTGTTAAATAAATACATAAATAAATAAATAGAAAGTTCTGACTAGATATAATAATAAAACTTACTGTATTGATGATGTGGACTTGAAAAAAAACCCTGACGACACGTTTACAAAAAGATGGGTCACAGATTTCATATAGGAAATATTTCCAAGAGCGATATCAAGTAAAAATTCAACACAATGATCAGCCCTTCCTGATATCGAAGTCTCAGCCCCGTGAAATTGATGCAGGCATGCCAGAGTTGGTTGTATTGCTGCCAGAACTTTGCATCATGACAGGATTGTCAGATAAGCAAAGGGAAAATTTCCAACTGATGAAGGCGATGGGTAAACACACTAGGGTTAGTGCAGGAGACTGCATGCGAAAACGCTTGCAATTTGCTGGGCGTTTTTGCGCCTGTCCCACTGCATTAGAAGAAATTGGGCGTTGGGACCTCAAACTTGCAGATAATTTTATTGAATTCCAGGGAAGCGTGTTACCTGCGGAATCTCTTTTATTGAGGATTAACCAGCCCATTCAAAGTGGAGAAGAAGCTGATTGGACCCGAAATTTGCATACTGCCCCTATGTAAAATAATGTGAGCGTTGATAAACTAGCCCAAGAGCTTGTTATTATATAGTTGGCAAGGGCATGTCGATGGTCATCAATTCAAAGGTCTTTGCTATTCCAGATGACCGCAACAATAGCTATATTTCTGAAATAGAGAAAGTACATGTCTGGGAATTATCCAGGTGGAACTTAATAAAACTTGAAAAGTAGTTTGTGAAATTGTGTACATTACCTTATAGGGAGGAAATCAAACACACAAAATACTCTTAGAGAGAAAAAAACCTAAAAAACCTAGGTATAAAAAAACCTAAACCACGATTTTCTATTGCATTTGGTAAGTTGTTAAAAATACAGGAGCTTTTGAAATGGGATGCATGGTTGGAAAAAAACCTAAGATTTAGAAAAAATAATTTCAGATTTTTAGGGTTTTTCAGGTTTTTGGGTTTTTTTGGGTTTTTCAATTTTTTTGAAGGTTTCCTTAAGGTATTTTAGGTTCTTTTAGTACGTAACAGTCGTAACATATTATTAGTGATGTAGGTATCGGGTCTTCAAAAAAAAAAACAATCGAAGATGCTTTGATTACGAAAACGTGCATCGCATTATTGTTTCTTTATTGGTCAGGATTTTTGACATGACATTTTGACATTAAATTTCATTAACAAAATTGAAGAAAAATATTGCTAAGACATACGTTTAAAAAACCATAGCAATCTTTGATTGGTTTTTTTTTTTTTTGAAGACCCGATATGTTTAATTATTCAAATCCCGTAGCTGAACTGATAAATAAAACATGGATATACTTAGAATCCTGGAAAGAAGTAGGTAACAATATTAGGTAGAAAGTGTGGTGGTGAGTCTTTTTTCTTTTTTTAAAAAAGAAAGAAATACCTAAAATGCACATTTTTAAGAAATAGGTTTTTTAAAAAAACCAAAAAAACCTAGGCTCTGAAAAACCTGTACCTGCCAACCCTAAAAGGGACTATTTAAACCCTTGTTAGCATTAACATTGCATTGATAATTATTATAATTTAGTAGGATTATATATAAATATATAGGTATAGCAACCTTTCAGGGATCAGTGCCACACAAGGTTCAGTACATGTCTGGGAAACAACCTGGTAGATTAAATAAAACTCTAAGAGTATTTTGTGTGTATGAATTCCTTCCTATAAGGTACACAATTTCACAAACAACTTTTCAAGTTTTATTAAATTCCACTTGAATAATTCCCAGACATGTACATTTTCTATTTCAGAAATGTAGCTATTGTTGCGGTCATCTGGAATAGCAAAGACCTTTGAGTTAATGACCACTGACATGCCCTTGCCAACTATGGACATTTGTCCAACCTCTTGGGCTGGTTTATCAACTTTAACTTTATTGTACATAGGGACAGTACGCAAATTTCGGGTCCAATCAGCTTCTTCTCCACTTTGAATGGGCTGTTTATTCCTCAATAATAGAGATTCTGCTCTACCCTGGAATTCAATCAAATTATCTGCAAGTTTGAGGTCCCAACGCTCAATTTCTTCTAATGCAGTGGGACAGGCGTAAAAACGCCCAGCAAATTGCAAACGTTTTCGCATCCGGTCTCCTGCACTAACCCTAGTGTGTTCACCCATCGCCTTCATCGGTTTGAAATTTCTCCTTTGTTTATCTGAGAATCCTGTCATGATGCAAAGTTCCGACAGCAATACAACCAACTCTGGCATGCCTGTACGGATTTCACGGGGCTAAGACTTCGATACCAATAAGGGCTGATCATTGTGTTGAATTTTCACCTGATATCTCTCTTTGAAATATTTCCTATACCAAATCTGTGACCCATGACGTTTTGTAAATACGTTGCAAAATACTCTCAGAGTTTTATTTAATCTACCAGGTTGTTTTCCAGACATGTACTTTTTCTATTTCAGAAATGTAGCTATTGTTGCGGTCATCTGGAATAGCAAAGACTTTGGAATTGATGACCATCGACATTCCTTTGCCAACTATGGACAACATTTGTCCAACCCCTTGGGCTAGTTTATCAACGTTCACAATATTGTACATGGGGGCAGCACGCAAATTTCGGGTCCAATCAGCTTCTTCTCCACTTTGAATGGGCTGGTTATTCCTCAATAAAAGAGATTCTGCAGGTAACACTCTTCCCTGGAATTCAATCAAATTATCTGCAAGTTTGAGGTCCCAACGCCCAATTTCTTCTAATGCAGTGGGACAGGCGCAAAAACGCCCAGCAAATTGCAAGCGTTTTCGTATGCGGTATCCTGCACTAATTCTAGTGTGTTCACCCATCGCCTTCATCAATTGGAAATTTTCTCTCTGCTTATCCGACAATCCTGTTATAATGCAAAGTTCTGGCAGCAAAACAACCAACTCTGGCATGCCTGCGCGGATTTCACGAGCCTTAGATTTTGATACCAATAATGGCTGATCATTGTGTTGAATTTTCACTTGGTATCTTTCTTGGAAATATTTCCTATACGAAATCTGTGACCCATCACGTTTTGTAAATACGTTGCAAAATACTCTTAGAGTTTTATTTAATCTACCAGGTTGTTTTCCAGACATGTACTTTTTCTATTTCAGAAATGTAGCTATTGTTGCGGTCATCTGGAATAGCAAAGACTTTGGAATTGATGACCATCGACATTCCTTTGCCAACTATGGACAACATTTGTCCAACCCCTTGGGCTAGTTTATCAACGTTCACAATATTGTACATGGGGGCAGCACGCAAATTTCGGGTCCAATCAGCTTCTTCTCCACTTTGAATGGGCTGGTTATTCCTCAATAAAAGAGATTCTGCAGGTAACACTCTTCCCTGGAATTCAATCAAATTATCTGCAAGTTTGAGGTCCCAACGCCCAATTTCTTCTAATGCAGTGGGACAGGCGCAAAAACGCCCAGCAAATTGCAAGCGTTTTCGTATGCGGTATCCTGCACTAATTCTAGTGTGTTCACCCATCGCCTTCATCAATTGGAAATTTTCTCTCTGCTTATCCGACAATCCTGTTATAATGCAAAGTTCTGGCAGCAAAACAACCAACTCTGGCATGCCTGCGCGGATTTCACGAGCCTTAGATTTTGATACCAATAATGGCTGATCATTGTGTTGAATTTTCACTTGGTATCTTTCTTGGAAATATTTCCTATACGAAATCTGTGACCCATCACGTTTTGTAAATACGTTGCAAAATACTCTTAGAGTTTTATTTAATCTACCAGGTTGTTTTCCAGACATGTACTTTTTCTATTTCAGAAATGTAGCTATTGTTGCGGTCATCTGGAATAGCAAAGACTTTGGAATTGATGACCATCGACATTCCTTTGCCAACTATGGACAACATTTGTCCAACCCCTTGGGCTAGTTTATCAACGTTCACAATATTGTACATGGGGGCAGCACGCAAATTTCGGGTCCAATCAGCTTCTTCTCCACTTTGAATGGGCTGGTTATTCCTCAATAAAAGAGATTCTGCAGGTAACACTCTTCCCTGGAATTCAATCAAATTATCTGCAAGTTTGAGGTCCCAACGCCCAATTTCTTCTAATGCAGTGGTACAGGCGCAAAAACGCCCAGCAAATTGCAAACGTTTTCACATGCGGTATCCTGCACTAACCCTAGTGTGTTCACCCATCGCCTTCATCAATTGGAAATTTTCTCTTTGCTTATCTGACAATCCTGTTATAATGCAAAGTTCTGGCAGCAAAACAACCAACTCTGGCATGCCTGCGCGGATTTCACGAGCCTTAGATTTTGATACCAATAATGGCTGATCATTGTGTTGAATTTTCACTTGGTATCTTTCTTGGAAATATTTCCTATACGAAATCTGTGACCCATCACGTTTTGTAAATACGTTGCAAAATACTCTTAGAGTTTTATTTAATCTACCAGGTTGTTTTCCAGACATGTACTTTTTCTATTTCAGAAATGTAGCTATTGTTGCGGTCATCTGGAATAGCAAAGACTTTGGAATTGATGACCATCGACATTCCTTTGCCAACTATGGACAACATTTGTCCAACCCCTTGGGCTAGTTTATCAACGTTCACAATATTGTACATGGGGGCAGCACGCAAATTTCGGGTCCAATCAGCTTCTTCTCCACTTTGAATGGGCTGGTTATTCCTCAATAAAAGAGATTCTGCAGGTAACACTCTTCCCTGGAATTCAATCAAATTATCTGCAAGTTTGAGGTCCCAACGCCCAATTTCTTCTAATGCAGTGGGACAGGCGCAAAAACGCCCAGCAAATTGCAAGCGTTTTCGTATGCGGTATCCTGCACTAATTCTAGTGTGTTCACCCATCGCCTTCATCAATTGGAAATTTTCTCTCTGCTTATCCGACAATCCTGTTATAATGCAAAGTTCTGGCAGCAAAACAACCAACTCTGGCATGCCTGCGCGGATTTCACGAGCCTTAGATTTTGATACCAATAATGGCTGATCATTGTGTTGAATTTTCACTTGGTATCTTTCTTGGAAATATTTCCTATACGAAATCTGTGACCCATCACGTTTTGTAAATACGTTGCAAAATACTCTTAGAGTTTTATTTAATCTACCAGGTTGTTTTCCAGACATGTACTTTTTCTATTTCAGAAATGTAGCTATTGTTGCGGTCATCTGGAATAGCAAAGACTTTGGAATTGATGACCATCGACATTCCTTTGCCAACTATGGACAACATTTGTCCAACCCCTTGGGCTAGTTTATCAACGTTCACAATATTGTACATGGGGGCAGCACGCAAATTTCGGGTCCAATCAGCTTCTTCTCCACTTTGAATGGGCTGGTTATTCCTCAATAAAAGAGATTCTGCAGGTAACACTCTTCCCTGGAATTCAATCAAATTATCTGCAAGTTTGAGGTCCCAACGCCCAATTTCTTCTAATGCAGTGGGACAGGCGCAAAAACGCCCAGCAAATTGCAAGCGTTTTCGTATGCGGTATCCTGCACTAATTCTAGTGTGTTCACCCATCGCCTTCATCAATTGGAAATTTTCTCTCTGCTTATCCGACAATCCTGTTATAATGCAAAGTTCTGGCAGCAAAACAACCAACTCTGGCATGCCTGCGCGGATTTCACGAGCCTTAGATTTTGATACCAATAATGGCTGATCATTGTGTTGAATTTTCACTTGGTATCTTTCTTGGAAATATTTCCTATACGAAATCTGTGACCCATCACGTTTTGTAAATACGTTGCAAAATACTCTTAGAGTTTTATTTAATCTACCAGGTTGTTTTCCAGACATGTACTTTTTCTATTTCAGAAATGTAGCTATTGTTGCGGTCATCTGGAATAGCAAAGACTTTGGAATTGATGACCATCGACATTCCTTTGCCAACTATGGACAACATTTGTCCAACTCCTTGGGCTAGTTTATCAACGTTCACAATATTGTACATGGGGGCAGCACGCAAATTTCGGGTCCAATCAGCTTCTTCTCCACTTTGAATGGGCTGGTTATTCCTCAATAAAAGAGATTCTGCAGGTAACACTCTTCCCTGGAATTCAATCAAATTATCTGCAAGTTTGAGGTCCCAACGCCCAATTTCTTCTAATGCAGTGGTACAGGCGCAAAAACGCCCAGCAAATTGCAAACGTTTTCACATGCGGTATCCTGCACTAACCCTAGTGTGTTCACCCATCGCCTTCATCAATTGGAAATTTTCTCTTTGCTTATCTGACAATCCTGTTATAATGCAAAGTTCTGGCAGCAAAACAACCAACTCTGGCATGCCTGCGCGGATTTCACGAGCCTTAGATTTTGATACCAATAATGGCTGATCATTGTGTTGAATTTTCACTTGGTATCTTTCTTGGAAATATTTCCTATACGAAATCTGTGACCCATCACGTTTTGTAAATACGTTGCAAAATACTCTTCGAGTTTTATTTAATCTACCAGGTTGTTTTCCAGACATGTACTGAACCTTGTGTGGCACTGATCCCTGAAATGTTGCTATACCTATATACTTATAGTTGATCCTATTATAGTTGATCCTATTATATTACTATCAATGCAATGTAAATACTAAGAAAGATTTAAATAGTCCCATTTAGGGTTGGCAGTGAGGTTCGCACGTACGATTTTTTTCAAACCTACGCTTTTTAGGTTTTTTTAGTACATAACAGTCGTAGCACATTATTAGTGATGTAGGTATGTTAAATTAGTCACATAATCATAGCTAAACTGATAAATAAAACATGGATATAGAATTCTGGAAAGAAGTAGGTAACAATAACAATATAAGGTGAAAAGTGTGGTGGTGAGTCTTTTTTTTTTTTTTTTTAAGAAAAACCTAAAATGCACATTTTTTAAGAAATAGGTTTTTTGAAAAAACCTAATAAACCTAGGTTAAAAATAAAACCCGTACCTGCCAACCCTAAATGGGACTATTTAAACCTTTCTTAGTATTTACATTGCATTGATAGTAATATAATAGGATCAACTATAAGTATATAGGTATAGCAACATTTCAGGGATCAGTGCCACACAAGGTTCAGTACATGTCTGGAAAACAACCTGGTAGATTAAAGAAAACTCTAAGAGTATTTTTCAACGTATTTACAAAACGTGATGGGTCACAGATTTCATACAGAAAATATTTCCAAGAAAGATACCAAGTAAAAATTCAACATAATGATCAGCCATTATTGGTATCAAAATCTAAGGCTCGTGAAATCCGCGCAGGCATGC